ATTTTGCCATAGGACCACGCTGTGAAGCTTGCATGAGACACTATGGACGTATCAGCCAAGTGCAACAGCACTTAAAGCAGTCCTCTGAGTGCCTCCTGCGTTGCCTGTTTCTGTTCCGTCCCCTTGAGGTAGACGAGATCCACCAACTGGAGCAGCCGGACAAGCAGAACCGCAAGGCTGTCGCCAGCGGTAAGTGGCAACAATTCCGATGCAGTGGCCCGCCACAACGTGTGCCTGTGGAGTTTGGCCCACGCTTGCCGACTGCAGCAGAGCGTCGTGTGCCGCCTGATCCTACAGAGCAGGCTCGCCTCAGCACTCTTGGCAAGCATTACATCCCTTCTGCCGACTGTCAAGCTTGGATTACCGGGCACGTCGATGCTAAGAGCCAAGAGGCTCCCCGCCAGTCGGCGTGCACTTTCTGGCAGAAGCGACCCGTTTCACCCAGCAGAATTTAGTGCAAGCAATTTTGGGGCGCACTTCCCCGCGCTGTAATACACAGCCAGAAGACCGGATGCCCAACCGTTAACCGTTATACTACTTTGGGGGTTCCTTATTATAATTAGAGTATCATGTACCCCAAACCCCCAATCTAATTATGAAGGCCCCTACACTACAGTGGTTCGGGATGAGCAGCTCAGGGTTCCGGATTCAGTGCTGAGGGTGTTTCGGAGGTTGGGTGCAACGCTCTGCACTTTCGGCCGTAAGTATTGCCCTTACCCTCGAAGGACTCATATTTTAAGGCTTTCGGGCCAAAAGACCCTATTATGTACGGCTTTTGGGATATTTTGATTCTAAGGGTTGTAGAGGTCTGAATATTTAGAAACGGTATTCCCCCGCTTGCAGTAGCTATGAAATAAGGTTTGCAGGTACAGGATGATTGCAACATTGAGCCCTAAACTCGAACCGCCGTAGATCTCGACAGAACTCGATCAACCCTGGCAAACCTTGCGCCATCCTTAACCTTAAACCCTAAACCCCTAAACCCCCTAAACCCCTAAACCATAAACCCCTAAACCCCTGAACCCCTAAACGCTAAACCCTAAACCCTGAACCCCTAAACCCTAAACCCCTAAACCCGTGAACCCCTAAACCCCCCCCCTAAACCCGTGAACCCCTAAACCCCCCCCCCCAAACCCCTGAACCCCTAAACCCCTAAACCCTAAACCCCCAAACCCCTAAACCCTAAACCCTAAACTAAACCCCCAAACCCCTAAAACCCTAAACCGCCCCCTAAACCCTAAACCCCTAAACCCTGTGTTCAGGATCCTCGAGTTCCCTAACCTTCCGGGGTCCTTTTAGGGTTGGCTCGGGAGCTCAGGGTTCTTGGGGTTGGGATTAGGGTTTCGGGATTGGCGTTTCGGGATTGGGGTTTCGGGATTAGTGCTTTGGGATTAGGGTTTATGGATTAGGGTTTAGGGTTTAGGGTTTAGGGATTAGGGTTTAGGGCTAAACCCTAAAACCTAAACCCTAAGCCCTAAATCCTAACCCATTGAAAAACAGGACTTGCTTTGCTGCTTTGACAGTTCCAGAAGACGGTGTTTCAGAAACGGTGGGCATCGCTCGGTCCCTCCTCTGAAGTTTGGTAGGCTCCCCCTACCTTGAACTACCAAACCTGCGTTTTCGTAGGGTACCTAAAGGTTCTATATCATGGCTTATAGTAAGAACCTACAAAAAGGTAGGTCATGGTACGTAGTTGAAGGTAAGTAAACCCCAAAACCCCTAAAGCCTAAACCCTGAACCTCTAAACCCTAAGCCCGATACTCTGAGCCCCAAACCCAGGTTTGGCCTACCAGCCAGTGATCGAATGTGCCACCACGAACTGGGCACCCCGTCGCAGACATGGGCTTCTTGTGTTAAGACCTACTGCACACCATGGATTCGATACTGTACAGTAGACTACAACAAAACATGGTCACAAAACATTGAAGCCGTAAAGCTTAGCATCCTATGGAACCCTAAACCCCTAAAACACTTCCGAAAGCTCTACACTCCAACATGAGTCCTCCCTCCAGAGGAACCCTAAACACAATGCATAAAGCAGCATGCCCGAAATGCCGGGAGCATCTCTAGTGATTTTAACGTATACTCCTTAATATTGGAACTTCTAGAGGCCAGAAGTTCCTGAGAAAAACCCTAAACCCCTACAGCCTTAAATGCCTCAAACCCTAAACCCGTAAACCCTTAAAGGAACCCTTATAGTAATCTTTAAAGTAACCCCTAAAGGAAGCCGTATAGTAACCCCTATAGTAACCCTGAAAGGAACCCCTCTAGCAACCCCTAAAGAAACCTTTAGAGGAACCCACAAAGGAACCCCTCAACGCTAAACCCCTGAACCCTACACTCGCATGGGCATCTGGGAGTGGGAAATCTTGAGTTCTGAAGGGTTTGGGGTTTAGGGTTTAGGGTTTAGGGCGGGTTCTTGCTAAGGGTGTTTGGGGGGTTTGTTTATGGGGTACTATAAGGGTAACTACATGAGCAAACCCTAAACCCTAAACCCTATGAGAGTAGCTACATGAGCAAACCCTAAACCCTCAACCCTATAAGGGCAACTACATGAGAAAACCCTAAGCCCTAAACCCTAAACCCAATAAGGGTAACTACATGAGCCTACGTGCGCTTCATGAGTCTATGTGGGTTTCGGGCTTTAGAGGGTAGGGTTTAGGATGTACTTGTATATAGTGGTACTACAAGGGTTCCTTTATGGGGGGATACTCAGAGAACGCATGATCGTGAGCCCTAGTACTAGGGTACATACACGAATACATACATATATGCATGCATGCATACTCACATATACAGAATTAGCACATATTGCGCACCTGCCGTTGGAACAACTTCCGTTCAATGTGCAGGGTTTACTGTTTAGTGTTCCAGGAGGACTGCAGTGTCTCCTGTGCGACCAGGGTTTGGGGCCTGAAAATATTTAGGGTTTAGGGGTTTCGGGTTTAGGGGTTTACCTTAAGAGCCCAAAACCCACTTTGTTGTAGGTTCTTTTTTTAAAGCCTAATATAGGATTTATAGGGACCCTACAAAAAAGTAGGTTTTGCGTTCTTAAGGTAGGGTTTAGGGTAGACAGCAAATCCCGATCGATGTGTTTCTCTTGCTCTCTCGGCAATCACTGAAGCACAGACCTGAGTAATCCTGAGTTACCATAATTTAGGGGCCTAAACTTAGTTCCCCAATATCCAACCTTTAAACTTTTTGGGTTCTTATAATTTAGTAGTAATCTGAAAGTTTAACCTTTTATTTCCCTGGCTTATTGGGGAAGTAAGTAAATAGTTGCCTCTACTATTCTGGGGCTCCTTTTTAAAATTCTAGTATAATGGGCCCCCAAAGCCCTGTTCTAATTATTATGGCCCCTAAATTACAACGGCCCAAAACCTGACGCCCTGAACCCGCACCGTGCTCAACAACTTTAAGGGCCCAAGCTTGCGCGACACCCAGCATCCAACCCGCAGATCCCTATCACAGGGCTTTAGGGTTTAGGGCTTAGGGTCCAACTACGCAAATAGTAGGATTCAGAATAAAGTCGTGGGTCCCCAAAGTCCTACTTTTGGGTACTTGGGCCATCGGGGCAAGCCTGTCGGTCCTGAGTCTATACACCCCATCCTCTAACTGGGAGTTTCCGAAAACCAGGGGTATTTGGGGGTCCTTATAATAAGGATCCTACTATTTAGGGAACTATGTTAGGGTCCCCTACTTTCGGAACCCCCCAAATTGCTGGACTTAAGTCACCGGCAACAAATATCGCCCTCCCCTCCGAGTTTCTCAACCAAAAGCATAGTAGCGGGACAGAGACGAGGCAATATCATAGTAACAGTAATACTGCGAACTAGGCAGAAGAAGAAGCCACGAAAGCAAGAGGCATCAGACGAACCCTAAACCCTAAACCCTAAACCCTAAACCTAAACCCTAAACCCTAAGCCATCATACGATCCATCCAGACTTCAAGGTCGATAGAACTCATAGAACTGCGACCGTCTTGTCCCCAGAGACTCCAATATCCCTAAGTTAAGGAATATACCTTCAAGAATAGTAGGATCCCTAATACGATTTAAAGTATATTCCTTAATTAAGGGGTATTGGAGTCTCTGGGTCTAAACCCTAGACCCTAAGCCTCCCTAAAAACCCTTAAACCCTGGCCTAAACCCTGAACCCTAGAGCCTAAAGCCTAAACCCTAAGACCCTAAAGCCTAAAACCCTAAAGCCTAAAGCCTAAAACCCTAAAGCCTAAAGTCCACGCTGAACGCTTGAGGAGTGGACCGTCAGGGCCCTGGCTCGCATCGGGCACAGGATGTTAGGGGGGGTAGGATCTAGAAGGTTTGGGGTTTAGGGGTTTTGGAGTTTGGGTTAAAGGGTTTAGGGCTTTGGGTTTATGGGTTCTGGGGTTTTGAGTTAGGGGCTCAGGGTTAGGGTGGAGGAAGTTCGGAAGGGTTGAGAGTTTAGACTTCCGGCGGTTTAGGGTGTAGGGCTTACAGGGTCTAGGGTTTAGGGGTTATGGTCTCGAGCATGATTTCGTAAAGTGAGCGGCTCGAACGTGGTTTGCATGTAAACTGTATGCTGCTGAAGCCTACACTCACAACCCCATAGTTGTAATGTAGAGGCCTACAACTAGAACAGGGTTTGGGGGCTCCTTATTATAAGTATAGTATACTATACTCCAGACCTCTTTGAAATTGTGAAGGCCCCGACATTAGCGGCATTTACTGGAAACTTGGCATCTCTGAGAAGGAGCAAGGCTCGGTAGTGATGCTAGCGGCTACCAGTGTACGATCGGGCTGACTCCCGTGGTAGCAGGCGTACGATGGGGCGAACCCCCATGGTGGCAACAACACTTTTACAGTTGGGAACTCCGTGAGTCCTCTGAAACTTTTTCGACAAATTGTGGCCATGAGAGTCTCTTGCACCCTAAACTCTAAACCCTAAACCCTAAACCCTAACTTAAACTTGACAAGGACCAGACCCAAGCCCTAGAGACAAAGCAATCCTCAGCTAAGACCATGACCGTCCTCTCCATCTTGGACCTGCTCCTGGTGATCCTCTTCTCGATCCCCATCATTGCGATCTGCATCCTAAAATCCTGGCGGTGGCAGCACGGGCGACTTAGCCCAAGGTCTTCTGCTTGTGGCGGCGGATGTAGTAAGCTAAAACCAGGGACGAGGGAGTGAACATGTTGATAGTGTCCAGTCTATAGGAACTTCCTGTCCTCCTCGTTGCGCTCGTCATCCTCGTCGTCATGGTGGTGGTGGTGGTGGTGGTGGTGGTGGTGGTGGTGGTGGTGGTTGGTGGTGGCGATGGTGGGAGTACATAGCAGGAGTGTAGGAGGAATAGTAATGGTAATAGTAATAGTAATGGTAGTCGTAGTAGTAGTAGTAGTAGTAGTAGTAGTAGTAGGCGCCCCCCCCTACCAACTACAATTGCTTAAAACCATGTTAAGAGCACA